AATAGGGTCAGAGTTAGCAAGAATGGCTAGATTGTCCCTTGAGTGCAAGACTCGGTGATTTGGATACGCACTTCATTGGTATAGAGTTCATAAAGTGTGTCAACGTATGCGGAGCCGTTGGTGGAATTCCATAAATGTCATATAAGTTTATAAATACCCACCCCAAGAAAGACTCAGGATTTATAAATGGTCATTGGATGTGTAACATCAATGGTGGGGGGCTTGGAATGCCCGAATTCATAAGCATGACATTGCATGTGTTATGGGAGCCGTTGAAGGCTCGGGTTGCGTTGCATGTATGAGTCTCACCTTATATTTTGGCATGTCATTGTTACATTAATTCTTGAAGTTGTTTGTTCTTGGATGAATGCTTGTTAATTGTTGAATTGCATGTGAGCATTTCATATGCATTTAGGTTGGGGAGTAGTCTCATTAGGAGATATCCTATTAAGCATGGCACAAGGTTTATGGGGACAACATTTCAAGTGTGGGATAAGAGTCGGTGGATAGCTCTCACTTAGGCTCTCATTGATGAAAAAGAGCCGAAATGTGGCTTTAAATTACGTTTTTGTAAAACAAATATGTAATTTAGTTTTTGGACATGTAATATTGTATAAAAGATTGTAAAACGGACTCATATGAACTATGTTTTTGTGTAAAATTGTATGTTATATGAGTTTGGGTAGATGTTGTATGAGATTGGATAAGTTGGATTCGAAAAAGGATGGAATCAGGAGAAAACTGAGCTCTTCTACCAGTAGAACGTTGAACATCTACCGGTAGAACATTGAACATTGGTTATCTTCCAATAGAAGAATTCCAGAGAGCTTTTCTACTAGTAGAATGTTGATTTTCTACCGGTAAAAGTATTCTAGTGAGCTTTTCTACTGGTAGAAAGCAATCTTCTACTCGTAGGTCATCTTAAATTTTCAAAAAATTAAAACTATCTTGTCAGTCCTTCGGATCTTGAGTCCTTTTATTCAAATGATGTAAATGGAATAATAATTAGGAAAAATTGATGTATGTTGGACCTTGGACCTTGGAATGCGTTTGGGAGTGCCCAGTACAAGAAAGACTTTGCCCAAACTCTGTGTTGGTTTACGATGCCAATAAAGGGGATGTTTTGCAGTGGTGTCGGGTTATGTGGCATTCATAGTTACTTCCGCGGGTTGATGGGTGATCAACAAGTTGACAAAGGACCCCCGATTTTACAGACGTCACAAATACTACTTTAAATGCTTAGCCCTCGGTGCGCCACACGCCTTAATTTATCTGGTCTAATTTTCTGAATCAATTAATTCTCGTCCCGCTTTAAGTTTAGTATATTTTTATTGAACTAATTTTAAATTATTTTTCAGGTCCCGCGAAAGAAATTCTGATCACGTTTATGTTAGTCGTGCGACATTCAATCGCATTCTAAAATGCAAAAAATTCGACTGTATCGGAATTTAAGACTAGGTAACTAGATTTTGCAAAACGAATCCAACGGTGAGGTCTACTTCGTCATTCGAGTTTGAGAAAAAAAAATTGGTTGTCTACATATACCATAGCAACTAATTACTAGTTTGCCCTTTTTTATGAAGTTTTAATTTTTTTTGGGTTTTACAATGAGTGCAACTCATTAACCACAAGTAGAAATAATTTCATCCATCAACCATAATAATTAAAACATAATCCAAAACAACTGTGCCAAACCTAGGCAATTACATCCAAAACCAAATATAACATGTCTCCCAAACACCAATTAATATCACATAGCATAATAAGTAAAATATACTTGGTAACATTATTTTCTTAACAAACAAGTAAATCAGTCAATAAACATAATCTTAAACATCCTCCTCGGGAACCACATCCTTGACAACATGGGCTTCCCAATCTACCTGCTCGTACGAGCCAATCTCCTCTTACAAACCATAATCTGTAAAATCCTCCCATAGACAAGCGAGGTTTGGAAACGAAACAATGGGTCAGTCTCAAGTTACAAAATATCATATATACTTTTGAATTAAAAACAATGAAAAATTAATCGATATCACGTTTATGTTGAAAGCAATAAACTAATCTCAAAAATAAAATCGATTCTCAATCCATCAACTAATTCCACAACGATCTATCTCAGGTATGTATGTAGACTGAGCATGAATACGGACATTGAGAATATCTTGCCACACCCTCACACACACAATCCTTATAAGGATACATAACTTTAGGTAGGGCGTATATCGACTCATCGACAGTGAGAAATCCAATTCAAGAATAGTATACTAATCCACGACCTACAAATAGTGGTTTGGTTCTCACAAGTAACCAATCCCCACTACAAGTGATAAGAAACTTTCAAACCCACTCAAAGTAAAAAACATATCTACCCACTCTATGATATTCAATCAATGGTCACCCATGCTCATCAAACCACCCTATACAAGCGATACTATCAAACCACTTCACCAAATCACATGTAAACCAAGCACTATACTTTCACAAGTATTTTTCCAATTGAGCAATTTAGGAAAATATGCTATAGATCATCAAGAACGTAATTTTATTCTTAAAACCCATCGCTAACATTTTTATAAATTAACAAGAAGGAACATGTGAAGCCTATCTTTCTTGAAAATTAGGGTTTCGATAACAAGAACAAGATTTTTATGGCTATCAAACAATAATCCCATTCAAAACATGATACAATTTGTAAGAAAACCAAGAATCAATGATTAAATTCCATATACTTACGATTTAGAGTGAAAACCTACATAAGTGGTAACACTAGCCACAATGAACTGCTCTAGGAAGAAACCCCTACCTCAATCCAAGATTTGATGTGAAATTCTAGCGTGTTTGATTCATCCTCTATGCAAAAATCCTCGACAATCTTGTTTTCTCTTCTTCTTCCTCACTTTCTAGGTTTCTTCTAAGGTCTAGAGCTTCTAAAATTAACCTAGAAATGTCCTTAGGGTATTACTAGGGTCAAATATTTGAGCACTTACGTGAGTTTGATTGTTGTTGAAACGTCTATGGCATTCAAACGTGGGAATTTTGTTCGAACTGAACTTTGCTTGAACGTCACGAGCTTCTAGTATCTCAACTTTTATCATAAGTTCTGTTAGACACTAAAGTAATGGGACTAACTAGTGTTAGAATGTAATATTGGCATTCAAACGTAAACCCAATTTCCTGCTTTAATTCCCAACACAGTTTTGATCTACTTAGAAGGCGATTCACATAATTTTTGTTAAATAAACTTTTCTTCCTTTAGATATCTAATTTCTACTTTCAAAATTTCAGACCATTCTAATGTCATAATACAATACTGAGACAACATCTTACCATTCTCAATAAACTTTATCACAAATATACTACTCAACACACAAAACACTTCTAGCACCCTATATTTTTGCCTTATTCTTATGACGACATCTTATACTTAGTCAACAAAATATAAAATATCCATTATAATAAATATATGGAGGTTTATACAGGTTGAGGTAGCGTTAGGATTAGGGTTAGGGTTAAGGTTGAAGTTTTTATACCTAGAGTTGGGTTATGATTGATGTCTTAAACTGCCTAACCTGCCCTATTGCACCCCTAGAGCTGGGGAGAGGAGAAAGAATGGTGATTAGACTAATTTGGGGGAAAATGAACTAAAAGTTGGGCTTCAGGAATTTAAAGAAAACAAAAAAAAAAAATTAAAGAGGAAAACGCCCAGTCAAACAAAACCAGGTCGTCAAAAAATTTGAAAGCTATGTGTCAACATTAACTTTAATGCTGATTAGGTTCAAAAATTTTGGCTTTGATTTGTATGCGTTTGAATTTAAACATTGACAAATCTCTATTTTACATTTTTACTGAGTTGTCTATGGAACTCAAAAACAAAATTTCGATATCATGCATTTATTTATCATATTTGTGGATGATTTTATTATTAGTATGAATGTTTTTATCATTACTATGGTACCAAAAAAAAATAAAAAATAATTATCATAACAGTGGAAAAAATATTTATAAAAATAGTTAATTACCAACAAAAGTGATAATTTTTTTGTTTTAAAATGATCCATAAAATAGTAAATTTTTGAGGTAGAACACCGAATTTTTTTTGTTGGTACCATAGGCAAACCCCTAGTTTACCAGTACTTTAAGTAAACGCCGGCTAATGAACGCTAGTGAAACCCTATTTTCTTGTAGTGTGGAGAGATGTCCCATTCACATAAACGTGGCAAATCAATTGTTCAGGTATTAGACCATTGCTTTTGAAGAAGTTAACTGATCGAGTTCAGGTAATAGAGATCCATGTATTGGTGACCTTTCCTTTTTTGTTGAATGCATCTTAGGACTCAAAAGGTATGAACTATTGAGAATTAGACTGAAAAAATAAATGCTAAGGACAACTGAAATAACACATGAGAATTGTTGTTTGACCTTCAAAAATTAACACCATTTGTTGACTTTATCAATCACTGTTATTGATTTTGATTATAGATCCCAACATTTATTAGTATCTATTAACTATTTAATAATCGTGATCAACAAAGTCAACAAATAATGTCAATTTTTGGAATCCAAATAACATTTTCCATAACTCTTTATTTATAAGGAGGTCAGAGAGCATTAATGGTGGACACTAGCAAGAGCAAGGGATGAGGAAGAATGACAATAGGACCATGGCATGGTGAATAAAAAACAGATTAGCTACAGTTTCCTAAAAGTGCTTTTTACTGGAATGTCAGCTAAAGAAGAGATTAATTAAGTGGCATATAAAGATTATCCCTGTTTGGCGTAGAAAGTAATGGAGAAGCTACCAAATGTTCAGCTACGCGGAAGTAGAGATAACGTCTGGAGAAGCCAATGGCGACACATGTTTTGGAGTTTGTCTCTTCTTTTAGCTGCCATCATGCTTATCATACCCCTTACAAAAGAAGAAACTACCCATCTCTACCGCACACAAGCTCACACACACACACAGTGAGAGAGAGAGAGAGCTTGAAACTGAAGCAGAAATGGAGGAAGTGGTTGTGATTGTAGGAGCAGGTCCAGCAGGCCTTGCGACTTCTGCATGCCTGAATCATCTCTCAATTTCCAACATTGTTCTTGAAAAAGAAGATTGTTGTGGCTCTCTGTGGAAGAAGAGAACATATGATCGACTGAATCTCCATCTATATAAGAAGTTCTGCTCCTTGCCTTTTAAGCCACACCCACCAGAAAGTCCCGCATTCATGTCTAAAGCTGCATTCATCCAATACTTGGATGACTATGCTTCATCTTTCAACATAAGCCCCCGGTACTGTCGTTCTGTCGAATCAGCTGTTTTTGTGGAAGGTGATCAGAAATGGCGTATTGAAGCAAAAAACACCATGTCAGGGGAAATGGAAGTTTATGTTTCAAAGTTCTTAGTTATCGCCACAGGTGAGAATGGTGAAGGTTATGTCCCTCCACTGCCTGGCTTATATAGCTTTGGAGGAGAAGTTCTTCACTCAAGCAACTATAAGTCGGCAGTGGGTTATGAAGCAAAGGAAGTTTTGGTAGTCGGCTGTGGTAATTCAGGTATGGAGATTGCCTATGATCTCTCAAACATTGGAGCCCACGCTTCAATTGTTGTGAGGAACCCGGTAACCTCTCTCTCTCTCTCTCTCTCACTCTCTCTCTCCCCCTTCCTCTCCTACCCCCAGACCCCACAAAGATTTGTAAACCTGAAAGTGTAGTTTTGATATTCTCATGCATGCATTGCAGAACATCAATCTACCTTGTTATGAACAGAAAATGTTCAACTCTTTTTCTTCTGCATTTTATGACAGATGATGTCAAATCTTTTTCTTCTGCGTGTTTTGACATGTATGATCTTTCTCTCTCTCTCTCTCTCTCCCTCCCACACATGCACACAAATAACTAATAGTTATATTGGTATTTGGATGCATCTCCAGCCTTGCATTGCACACCACTAATGGGGTCAGTTAATACATGTTTTGGGTAGAGGCTGAGATTAATGGACATTCTATGTGTCTAGCATTCCTGCTTCGCAAGTTGAGATCGTTTATGGGGTTGGCAGACTGGTTAAATCCCACAAAATAAATAATTGAAGCCAAAGAAGAAAAAATACAACGTAACCCCATATGTAATCTGAATCTGGTATAGGATTGTGATAATGTAAAGGTAATTTGTATAGGTTATTGAAATCCCCAAGCTTATCCTTTATCTAATTCTTTTTATAAAGTATTTACATTCATTTTTTTAAATGAATTATGATAATGATTGGTTTAAGTATGGATCTCTTTAGAACCCAAGATCCTATGGGCTTGCAGAAAGTGGCCCTAACAACTCGCCTAAACAAACTCGCCTAAGCAAAGATTACCGAGTAAAAGGTAAGGAACTTCATGTGGAAGTCTATAATCTGTAGGTTCAGGATCTCAAGGGCCAAAGACTCAAATAATGACAAAAAGTTCGACAATCTTGGATTCACAAGGTTCTGTGCAAGGCTTGACATTAAAAATTATTTCTCAGAACCTGCACACCCGTAGTAAACACAAACATATTGAGGTGACCATCCGAACCATCAAAATGGCTTTGACAAAAAGAATGAAAGCCTTCAAGGCTCAGTTGGTCGACCACCTCCCAATAGTATTATGGGCTTGCAGATCGACAGTGCAGACGACCACCAACGAAACTCCTTTTAGCCTTACCTATGGAACTGAAGCAATGACTCTAGTCGAGGTCGGGCTTTTTTCGACAAGGGCTGAGCTTTTTGACCTAGATTAGAATGACCGATCCCTACTCATCAATCTTCATTTCTTCAATGAGAGAAGGGATGAAGCACTACAACGCATATTCCCTTCCAAGAGGAATATTGCACGATACTACAACCAAAGGGTTAAAAGGAAAAGTTTCAAGCCGGGCGACCTAGTCCTCCAAATCTACCCCCAACAAGAAAGGATCCTACTAACGAAAAGTTGGGTCCAAACTGGGAGGGTCCATACATAGTGAAAAGAGTTGTCCGACCAAGCAACTACAAGATGTAGACTGAGCAAGGAAATGACCTACAACATTCATGGAATGCCGATCACCTAAAACGATACTATCAGTAGGATTGAGTTATCATGAAAAGCTGAGAAATTTGAAATCTAGAAAGCAGTTGTAAAAACCCAACTTCCAATCAATGAAATCTAAAATTCTTGTCAACATACTTGTATAGAAGTCCTTCTCTCGATCACAGACGCGAGCTCTTCAGCCCGCATGACCTTGACTAAGCTTTTGGCCTAAGAGGTTTTTAGCTCAGTCGATTAATAGACTCTTCAACCTTGAAAGAGTTCATCAACTCTCAAAGGCAACCTCAACAAAGCTTTTTCAGCCTAAGAACTTTTTAATTCAATCGATTAACAAGCTCTTCAGCCTTTAAAGAGTTTGTCAACTCTCAAAAGTGCGAGCTCTTCAGCATGCACGACCTCAACTAAATTTTTCGGCCTAAGAGTTTTTCAGTAAGGTGAATCACATGCTATTTAGTCTGTAAAGAGTTCATCAACTCTCAAATGCGATAGAGTTCTTCAGCTCGCACAGTCGACTAAATTTTTCAGTCTTTGAACTTTTTAGATCGATCGATCACAGGCTCTTCAGCCTTCCAAGAGTTCATCAGATCTCAAAGGCACAAGCTCTTAAGTTCACGCAACCTCAACTAAGCTTCTCAGCCTAAGAGTCTTTCATCTCAGTTTATTACAAGTTCTTCAGCCTTCAAAGATTTTTTCAACTCCCAAAGGCATAAACCCTTCAACTCGCACTTAATCGATCACTAGCTTTTCAGCCTTTATAATTTTTCACGGACTTCGTCTACTATACTAGTTTTCAGCCAAAGAGCGTTGAAGCTCCAAAAAACACAACAACAAAATGAAAGCGACAAAACAAAAAAATTATGTTACATTAAGAAACAACAAAAGAGGATCACAAGAAGTGCAACAAAATGTTCAAGATCATATGTTCCTTCTCTTCAACACCTTGATCTTTTCTTTTAGCCAAGCATTCTTCTCCTTCAGCTCGTCCCTCTCTTTCTTAGCCTCGAAGAACTGCCTCCTCAACATGGCCAACACAAACGACATCTCCAGCTTAGCAACTTTAAATCTCATCTCGCTTGATGAAAGGTGCGAGGAGGGAGATGGGGGAGACCTCCGGGCTCTCTTCTTCCTCCTCCTCCTCCTCCTCCTCATCCTCAAGGAAGTAGTAGTGTCTTCCTCAAAACCCTCTAAAGAAATGTCCTCGACAACAACAAAGGGAGGGGTAGTAGGGACAATAAAAGGAACAGCAACAAGATAACGTCTGGGATGGCAGCCAGGTCAGGACCAAGCCCAAACTTGTGAAGTATCTAAGTTGTGACCAACATGGAGAAAAGAACTAACTCAACTCAGCAAAGGTTGCAGAGCCTTACGATCTCACTAGGGGTCAATTCAGGGTCACTTGTGTTAATACAAAAGCAACTAGCGTAACAAAAAATAGGGGTACTACATGAAGGTGTTCCTTCTACTTGGAGAAGTAGGCTAACTCCTTACCTCTACTTGGAATGTGTCCCCAAGAGTGAGCCACTCGAAATTATCTGTGGATACCTTGTGCAAATTCCCTAGCGTCCCTAGAGATGAAGAAAAAATGCTACAACCATCCCTCAAAGGAACTTAGGTGTCGAGGACTAGCATTCAGACATGGAACCTCTATGAAAATTGATAAAAGTAGGGAGCAAAGACATCGTCAAAGTAAAAAATTAAAGGAACTCAGAAGGGTGCGAAGGTGGTTTCAGGGAAAATTAAGCCATCCTCTTCATGCTCTGAAGGGTTAGATGCAGACTACGACCTCTTAGGAGAAGGGAGCTCAAAATTTTTCACCAACTTCCTCTTCCTTTTCCTATCATCAGAAAATCTCTCCATTATGAGTCTTGAATCCATCTGGTCGGTAATCTGAATAGAAGTTCGGGTTCTAGAATAGTGATCTGTAAATTCTCATATGTTTATATTAATATAATGATATAATTATTTAGTAATTCTAATATATATAATGACATAAGAATGAACTACATAGACTATAATAGTAGAAATAAATATTTGGGAGACAAATGGATTGTTAAGTTTAAGTTTCGAAGGTGTTTAAACTTGGAAGAGGTTGTAGGTGAGTTTCTAAATACTTTTAGGTCAAAATAAGATGTCCATTGAATCCAGAAGATTGAGAAACATTGGGAGAGGTAGTATGGGGTGTAATAAAGTTAGGAAGTATTCTGGAATTAAAGTACACTTTAGAGAGAATTTGGATAAAAAGGATTTTGGACACTGCCTAGTATTTGGATCATAAATTTTTTTATCCTAATGTCCGTTTGATCTGAAATTTTGACAGTAGATAGTAGAATTCTAGATCTACAAAAGTGTATTTCATTAAAATTTTCTAAATTGACCTTTAAATAGGCCAAAACTGGACTGGAAGTTTCAGCAGAAACAAGAAGTACGTTCGAACGTGAAATAACTTTCGAACGTGAAAGTCCGTTCAAACTACCGTTCGAACTACAGTGCATTTCAGTACTTTTTGTCTGATGGAAAAACCAAAGTACTGGGAGCTAAGGACATTCGAATGCCAATGACATTCGAACGTCAATTACGAATTATGACTCTCAGAATTGCGCACAAAATACAATTTCTTCCACTATAAATACTTAAGGACACCTCCCTAAGCCCCATTTCAACATTTCTAAACCTATAAAAGCTTAGGGAAGAAGAAAGAAAGGGAAAACAAAAGATTAAAGAGTTGATTCGAGTTAGGGAAAGATCAAATCTCAAGTTCTTCAAGAATACTAAGGAAGAAGAAGGTAGGGGTTTTCTCCTATTCTCTTACATTGAGGCTAGGGCTTATATATATATATATTCTTTCGACTCTGAATCTTGTATATATACTATGAAATCTTTGATTCTTGATATTCTTGTAAATATTATCATGTTCTAGACAATGTTTTGGTTGGATAACCATTAAATCTCTTTTTTTTTCCTTCCAACCCTAGTTCACAAGAGAAATGGATTTTTCTCTTAATTTTTCCTTTGTTCTTGATTTTAAAACTTTAGTGCTTTGTATTGAATACTAAAATGGTATTTATGATGATCTCTTGTATTTTCTTCAATTGTTCTATTGAAATACTACATGTGAAATTGGGGATTTATGGAATTTTTGTTATTTGAAGAAATTGTTGGTATTGTATCTCTTGTGTGGTTGTTGGATAAACATGGGTTACTATTGACCGAGTATCTTGGAGTGAGTAGATGTCTTCTTACTCCGTGGGGGTTTAAACTTTTTCTACCACTCGTAGTGAGGTTAGTGCCTTGCGAGGACTAAACCATTATCGCTCACGCGATATCGTGGAAAAAGGATTTGTGTAGGTTGTGAGTGGGCCAGGATATTTTCGATGGTATTCATGCGAGATCTTACTTCATACCATAGACATGAATACAGTGATGGGCTATTGTTCATTGTACCATAAATAGTTTCTACAAAAATTTTGGGAAGTATGGGATTCCGCAAGAACTTGGAAGAAATAGAAACGGTTTATGGTGGAATGGATTATTAGTCATATATTGGTTTCACTTATGCATTAAATTACTGATATTGCTTAAACTTGAGATATGTGTAAATGTCCCTGTTTTATTTTAAAATTCATATATGCTATTTGTGAAAGGTGACCGACCGTCTTTATATGCTTTTTTAAACCTTGTTCGAGTTTGGGAGGAATGTTGCTACAGAGCTTAGTGCTCACCCCACTACAAACTATATTTTTCAGATTGTGGTCTAGAGGAAGAACTCGAGGTTGAGAAGCCGACACATTGAGAAGCTCCACTAGACGGGCTCATGGATCCCAAGGTGGATGTCTAGAGTTATACTCTCCTAGGTGCTAGACTAGGAAATTTCTTTTGAGACGTTGTAAAGACTAATCTTTTGTTATTCTGCTGCAAGTTTAGATGTGATTCTTTTGGGATATAATTATCATAGTCGATCACATTCTTTTGGGATGCAATGGCTATGGTTGGACTATTCTTTTGGGATAATATTATAAATGTTATTTTTGATGAATGAAATTTCTTTAATGATGAAATTATTTAGTTGCTCTCATGATGTGAATGGTTTATAGATTGTAATGTCGTCCAAGGTGGGTTTTGGGGTGTTACATGATCTGAGCAGGCAATGCCTCCATAGAGGGTCCAAACCCGTATTTAGCAAGCCTCTCCTTGGTGACCAGAGTAAAAAAAGGCTTTAGCTAGAACCATTCTCCTAGCCTCTGGAGGATCCAAAGAAGGGAGTAGGTCAGAACTGTGACAAGAACATATTTAACAGGCAAATCTTTAAGGGAGGTGCTCACTTGTGTTTCTTAGGACCCCCCAAAATTTGGGAATGCGGAGAATATCGTCGGGTGTTCCTGAGAACTCCCAGGAATCACCTTGGACAAATAAGAACTTTTATTTTCACTCCTTGTTGGAGGAAGGAAGTCTAGTACTCAGAATCTTCACTTTAACCCGCTTAGCAAACTACAAAAAGCCTAGAGTAGGCGAAGACTTAAGTTGAAAAGGTTGGCAAACTCATGAATAGTGGAAGGAAAAGTGTTCCCACTCTTCTACCAATGGAAAAGAAGACCAACCAATATGCAGCAACCATTGGGGAAAACCCGAGTTGGCATACATTATAGAATGCAAGAACATCTCAAATGAAGGGGTGAACAGGAAACCTAAGGTCAGATTTAAATGCCGAGGTAAAAAAATAGGTCATCCCAAGAGGAATGGCACCTCTTCTTCTCCTTACGATAATGAAGCAAGATGGTAATGAGAAAGGAAAAAATTGATCACCCCCAACCGATAGAGTGTCTTCGATAAAGGGCTCCTCAACACCAGGGGAGATGAAGCCCCTTCGGCATAATCACTACCGTGGGAAGCTGAAACCTCCTCAACGCTCTCACTACTTTCCCCAACAGACACAAACTCAAAAGAAGTATTAGATACGACTCTCCCCATTGGAACTTTAAATCACAGACCAGAATACAAAAACGCAGATTCGAAGCACAATCCGTAAAAAAAAATTGGTAAACACCGAGATCTGATCATTGTTAGCCTCAGCAGGAAGGAGTACTCAACAAACCACGAAAGAAAGCTAAAACTGTCAAAATGTCATCAGAAATAACTAAACTTCCAAATAATGAAGTAGAACCCACAGCTCCACTAGCTGGGGTTAAAGGTATCCAAAGCAAGCAAAAGAGAACAGAGACATACCTAATGGACAACTAGGACCACCTCGTGGAACAAAAGTGTAGAATTCTCAAAATCACTGGAGGGATGAGGTAAACACCTTTGAGCCCTCTCCCTGTGATGTGTGTACTCCCCTAACATGTCTCTTAAATTGGAGCAAATATGGGGGGCCGAACCTAATATTGAAGCAGTGTTAATGATCATGAGGAACTGTCATCCTCAAAGTAATCATTATGGCAAAAAAAATTGAATTTAACACAAGGAAGAAGCTGAAAAGTCATCCTCATGAACTGGAGCTGGGGGGCAACTGATAATAATTGGTTTAAGTTTGAACCCCTTTAGAGCCCAAGACCCTCTAGGCTTCTAGAAAGCGGTCTAAGAAGCTTACCCAAATGAACTCTTATGAGGAGGAATTGGGCCACAAACTGGTAGCCGAAAAGCTCAGAGTAACAAGCTCGACGCACTAACAAGCTCAGAACTCAAGAGCCCGACACAAGGCTAGTCTGCAAAAGCTGTAGCATGACCCATGGATAGGGGACAAGTGAACATTACCTGATGTCTCTGATGAACAAAAACCCCTAGGTACTGGAGATGAATCAAGTACTATAGTCAGCAAGTAGTGGGTATAGAAAGGCTTTGGGGACCACAACTCTAGGACAAAAACAAACACAGAAGAGACCACAGAATCAGCCAAAAAGGACAAACACGAAACACTAACTACCACTTATATAAATAGCTAGAGGGACTATAGTGCAAGAGAGGGCCATTATGTAAGCCATTAAGTAAAACTTAGGCAATATCCTTTAAAGACTTCAAGCCAAACACTATGTAATAGAAATCTTCTTCCCCAAGCAATATAGACCCTAAGAAGCAAGAGTCTCCCTTATAATGAGCGTAACCTTAGTCCTTAGGCTAAGGTGAACCTCTAGGATTTTGTATTCTCTAGCTTGCACCTTCATATTCACGTTCATCCAAATACACACACTCATTCAACTGCACCCAAGTTTGTTCTTAGAGTATTAATTGAAAATGTCTTCACACGGGAAATATGTATAAGCAAGTATGCTTTTGACTTGTTGGCCACATTAGCATGTGAATCGTGAAGGCACTCTAGTTAAATACATAATATAGTAAAGATAAATTAAACTGAAATCCCTTCTAGTTTTTGAACAGATTTTGCAATCTTCTAATTCCACCCTCTTGTATTTATTACTCCAGCCAAACTCTATTAATCCTATTCCCAAAATAGACCAATTTATCTTCCAAATATCCCACTTCATCTTACTTCTTTTTTTTTTTATCAGAAATTTTATTAGTTCCAAACAGCTCCTCTGCATGACATCAAACCTAACAAAATGAATTTTATTGGATTTCATTTTCTAAATAAATCAATTAAATTGCATTTAGCAAATGACACCTTATTTATAAGCATGTTATATATGTGTGAATTTATTTATTTTTAACAGATGTGTGAATCATATTAAATTTCATCTTTTTATATGAGAATATTATAAAATGGTAGGATGGTGAGACACTCTGCTTTTTTTTTTTTTTTTATTAACATTTTCTCTTTTAGTGAAATTATTTTTAAAAAGCTAATGAATATAAAGGGTAAAGTGGGTATCTAAAATAAAATATAGGATGACATAAGTCACTTCCATTGATGGCATGGACAATTGACTAACAGATGAGGTGTGTTACTAATTTTCACATCTTAAGGGATATGAGCGTAGTTTTAGTAATAATAAGGGTGCCAGAGAAATAGTCAAAAACTAAAAGGGATTTCATTGTAATTTAGCTTTTGGTAACCTACACTACAGCTAGCATCTACTGAAATTTAGCGGTCTTTGTGTCGGTTTAAATGATGTTTTAAAAAATGTCACTTAAAAATGACATTTTTTAATCTTTGTTTGTGTTTATTTTAATCTTTGTTTGTGTTTTTTAAACACGTCATTTGAAATGACATTTTTTGTGTTGAAGACGTAATTTATAATGAAATTTTTCAAGAGTGATAGAATTTAGGAAACAAGTATGCAATTGGCAGGTTTTGGGAATAAAGTTGCCCACATGCATAGGTTTGGTGAATAGCTTGTTGTTTTCAAGTTGGGAATGGAGACATTTAAAAAAAATAAGCAATGAACCTCTGTAGAATGTCACTCATGCAGAACAAGTTTTTATACTATACATAGGGTAAGGTTTACAACCTGAAGCCAATTGTAATCTTCAGCTGTCAGCCTAGGATCTATCATAAGTAACAAACAAAAGGAAGAGATTAAGTTCAGCTAGATTTGTTATAGTTAACCTGATTACTTGGCTGATTCTTTGGGGATTTGAATTATTTTCATCCACTTCAGCTGTAGCTTCCTTTTGAATACAAATAGAACTCTTATCTTTGTGAACATGCCATTGCCTACCATCTACTCTAGTCATAGCTTCCATCTACTCTAATACTCCCCCTCAAGTTAATGTAGGATAAGGATAACACACCCAACTTGCTTTGAAGAGAAAATAATAACTTATGTGGTAGTGCTTTAGTGTAAATATCACTAAGGTAATACATTGAACAAACATATTGTGTTTCTCTAGAACAACAAGATAATTCAATTTAATGTGTTTCATTTGAGCATGGAAAACAAGACCAATGGATAGATGAAGAGCACTTGGATTATCATGAAACAACGTAGTTGGAAAAGGGAGATCAATGCCCAGTGCATGAAGAACATAAGTGATCCAAGTAATTTCGACAATGGTGATAGCGAATGCGTGGTACTCTACTTCGGTGCTCAATTGAGCAACAGTTGATTGCTTCTTTACACCCCAATATGATATATGAGTGCTAAGAAATATGACATATGCATATGTAGAACATCTGGTAAAAAAGCAACCACCTGCCCAATCAGAATTAGAGAATTAGACTTAAAGAGCATTTTTCTTAAGAAAATAAAGACCAAATGAGAAGTGATTTGAAGTTAACAAAGAATTCTCTTGACTATGGAATATGTGTAATAGTACATTGGGTCCCAAGATTAACAAAATACATAAGATCATGATTAAAGAGGTCCAAGATCCAAGTAAAGCTATCTAGACTGAAGAGGAATATCGGCAATAGAAGCTAAAGTTGAACTGGTGGAAGTTGAGTCAAAGCGGTAGGAAAAATGGTGGATGATTTATCACAATGAGATTCTAGTGAGTGAACCTCAGGAAAAAATGATCCCCCTATGTCAATGTTATTTTTTGGTGTGTTTGTGTTATGCTGAATGTGTTGAGGAGAAAGTGATGTAGCCTGATTTCACACTACTGATGAGAGATTCGGGATTGCCCTAGTGCTTCCCTAGTAATGGAGAACATGAGAGCAGATGGTGTCTCACTTGAGGACGGACAAGATTGTGAAGGGTATGTATCTACCCGTTTTCAAAAGAAGTTGAAATTAATATTATGATCCCCTCTAGAAGAAGAAGTATCAACAAGAGTAGCAAAAGTTAAACTCAATTCATTAAAGACAACATGTCTAGAAATGTGTATTTTCCCACTTCGTGATTGTAGATAATGATTCCCTTTGTGGACAGAAATTTAACCAATAAGAATACATTGTATCTTTGTTTGTGAAAATTTGTTCTTTCCATGCTCCTTTAGATATGAATAGGACCTGCAACCAAACGCTCTCAAAGAAGTATTATCATGGTCTTTATGAAAAAGAATTTAAAATGGTGCTTCCACGTTGAGGGAGATTAAAGGCAATCGGCTGATAACAAAAGCAGCAATAGAGAATGCTTTAGTGCATATTTGTTTGTTTTAACTAGAGTGAAACAACATTGTCATTCCCAGTTGACAAATGTTTCAATTTTGGTGTTCGGTAACACCATTGTGCTCAGATGTTGATGCACAAGAGATGTGATGAGTAATTCCATGAGTCTATAACTATAGCAAGAAATTGCTATACCGGAATTCACCTCCACCATCACACTGGAAGAATTTTTTTTCTACCCAAATTATGTTTATACCAATGCCACAAAATGCTTGAAACAATTGAAAAAATCAGTTAAGCATGTAATCATCATTAAAAAGAGCATATTATCTAAAATTTTACATCGAGTTAACAAGAGCTGACCCCTACAAGTCGCAGTGAACTTTGTCAAATGGTGAAGGAGATCTAATAATAACATTGACAAGTGGAGGTTTACAATTTTTTTCAATTAGATACCTCTCACAAATAAATACTTTATTATTCTAAGTAACATCAATTTTATTCTTTCTAGAGTAAGAAGTCAATTTCCTTATTTTGGGTGTCCAAGCCGTTGATGGTGAACTTTTTCAGAGGTTTTCTTTCGTTGAACTAAAAAAGGGCTTTCTGGTAGCTACCCCAGGCATACAGTCCACCTGCTTTAGTTCTGTTTGCCATCGTCTTCCCTGTCAACTTCTCCTTGATGACAAAACCATTTGAAAGGAATTCAAAATTTTAAGGGTGTTATTTGGATGTTGTCCAATAGGTAGCAAATTCTTTGTGAGAGTCGCTGGAGAAAGGGAAAATATGTACTACACTTCAATAATGGAAATTATTAGATCTCAAGTCCCTGATAACAATGAGTCAATCAAGGTGGATAGAAGTATGTCAAACCCTTATTTTAAATTATGATTTTTTTCATTTCATTAAAAATTTAGTATTCCTCCAAAAGTTCACAGAGATATTTGAATTAAGATTAAATGCTAGGTGTTATTGAAATTCTTTTAAGTTCAGGCATTGATTTTGTTTCCCTATTCAAAAGTAAGCCTTCTTCTCTCTCAAAGCTGTCCTAGTCTAAAACAAATAACAGTTACATACGAAGTAATAATACAAAAATATTGAAGGTGAATGAATACTTTTAAGTTAACTGAAAATTTGGACAATATTTTACAGGAAACATATTCTCTTACTTTTTTATACATATTGTTATAATTCTAGTTTCACTCATTTTGTGATGGCTAATTTTGTGGATGGTCCAGATACATGTGGTCACCAAAGAAATGATATTTGTCAGTATGATGTTATTGAAATACCTTCCACTTTCGGTAGTGGATACTCTGATGGCTTTGCTCACAACGCTGAGATTTGGCAACTTATCAAAGTTTGGAATAAATAAGCCTCTGATAGGCCCATTCACTACTAAAGTCATTAGTGGAAGAAGTCCTGTTATTGATGTCGGAACTATTAAGAAAATCCAGGCGGGAGAAATAAAGGTAAATTAGTTTTTCCATGCATTTGGTGGCAAAGTGTTGATTGATCTATGCAAAAAAATAAAGTGTTTGGTTTTAATTAAGGTAATGTGTGCATCATTTAATTCATATCCAACCTATTGTAGCAAAAAAAGGTGAGAATGTTTTATGATATAAATGGCCAATGTTTAAATACTTTGAAAAGAGTTTGAATTTATTGATGAATTTGTCCTATTAAATGTTTTTCTATACTTTGCATTAGTTAAAGAATTCGGCTACATTCTGAACAATGTCTAGCTGAGTTAAACCTCTCCAAGAAAATCTTCATTCCCTCAATTCTTTTTTTGATTGTTAGGTTTATCCAGCCATACGTGGCATTAACAAAAATAGTGTACTCTTTGACAATGGGGATTCACGAAGTTTCGACGTAATAGTGTTAGCAACCGGCTACAAAAGCTTAGCTAATAAGTGGTTGAAGGTATGTGATACCCAAACCTATATAAAGCTAACTCATGGATATTTTTTGTTTACCCAACCCAAAAAAAATGGTTTTGTTACTTAGATATACTACTAGTGTTATCATTTTATCTACAGGACTACAAATATGTTCTTAATGGAGAAGGAATGCCAAAAAATAGGTTTCCAACTCACTGGAAAGGTGAGAATGGGGTATACTGTGCTGGCTTGTCGAAAATGGGGCTGCCTGGTGTGTCGATGGATGCTAAGGCCATCGCGAATGACATTAATATCGTCGTAGGGGAAGTAAAGAGGAGATCGAATAATGGTTCCTATTTTGATAAACTTGATATATTTGTAATTATGAATATGGTCCTACAATTTTCCTATGTAAGAGTGTTTGCATCGTCTTGAAGCTGGTTGAATGCTTAACCTAGACATGATTGCATTTATATTATCAAGTAACTTAATCAAAATATTGTTGTTCTAAAAACCACTAAAGAGTGCTCAAGTAAGGTTATTTAAATGATATAGTGGGTCTTTCTTGTTATTTATATTTCAATAGTTGGCCTATTATAGAATGTCATCTGAAACTAGTCCTGGGACTATTATTTTATCTTACCAAATCTAAAAGTCAAAAAAGTTATAAATTCTCTAGTCCTTTTGGAAAATAAATTTTCCGTTTTTAGCTAAATATTGTTAATATATGTGCAATACTAGCATTTAAGGCATCCACTATAGGAACAAAAACACACATACATGCACACTCATGCACGTGCGCACACAAACACACATACAGAAGGTTCCTTAATGGTATCTATACTAAACCTACCTGGTGATAGCACACCTCACTTGATTGATCAAGAAAATTTGCAAATTCTCAAATAGGAATCAGTCATTTCAAGAGGTTCCTTTTGTTATCCCTGCACTACTTATCCTAAAAAAGACTCAAAGCTTTATCAATGGATCCTTTTTGTAGTTATTCCCCTCTTTTGCTAGGTGTTATCTTTGTTGAGCAGGTTTGTTGAAGCCTATAAACCTTCTATAACTCCTATGTAAACTCTTAATATTCATTGTGGTTGTGAGTATACATACCAAGCATTTACAAGCTCCAACAAAATGCTCAAAGGATGTTGTAAACTAAGTTAAAATGTTCTGCATCGACGACTATACAAATGATAATTGAGTTCTTAAACAAAGCCAAAAATTCATAACGGTCCTAATATACTTGTACTTTTTTTAATTGGAGAGACCAATAGAGCATTTTAGTTAAGCTAAGAAGTCATAAGGGCAGGGAGGGCCCAATAATGTACAACTTTGTGTGTGTGTGTGTGTGTGTGTATTCACAGAGAACAAGAGGGACATGACATTGGTCTAGGGAATGCAATCTATGATTTTTAATTTTTTTTGTAGTTTATTAACATGTTAGAAAATATTTGTAATTCAGTAATTTGCATGCTTGTGAATGATCAAAACAAGCAAAAGTTGTTATCAATTAACAAAAATTATATGAGAGCTTACAAAAAGTAACAAAATTATAGTAAGAGATCATACTAACATAATTAAATTTTGGATGAATAAGAAAGATTTCAAGATGGTGGCTTAGTAAAATTATAATCAACTACAGATTTGTATCAAAGATGTCTTTTTCAAGAGAGAAGAAGAATTGAACTAGAAAATAAATCAAAAAGTATAGTTACAATAAGACCTTTCACTCAATATGTTTATAGTGAATTCTTGGGTTTTATAACCTATCACACTGCATTTTTCATTTTCAAGCAGTAAGAAGATCTTAGTCAGTTATTCCTTATTATGGCTTTGTGTGGGACCAAGATTCTTTTTAGCGCTCAATTGTTTCACTCTTTTTAGCCTCCTTTTTTTTGTTTTTGGTTTTTTATGGGATTTTGTTTTTTTTTTGGGTGGTGGTGGTGGGGGGGGGGGGGGTTCTATTTTCTTGTTTGATACTATAGTCCAAACAATTTGTTTGTTTGAAAGGAAAAATGATTTTCATTGACAAAAAAGAGAAATTTACAAGTAAAGTGCTTAATACTTTTTTTCAAAAGGTAAATCAAAATATCATTTAGAAAAATAGATGTACATCCCAAATGCGGCTCTACATATGGACAAAGTTTTGCAATGGAAAAGCATAAAATATGTAAATTTTTGAAGGGTACATTGCCAATACGACCACCCTATACATATTTTCTATGACAAAAAAGGTGGAAAGTAGTCATACAATGTTAGCAATAATACTAGTACCTCTCTAGCCATACAATGTTAGCAATAGTACTAGTTTCTCTAACAGGAGAACACAACAAATAGAAGAACACATTCAAAACTAGTTACCCGTAATGATCAAGCATAGTTCAGGAAGTTGCCACAACTAAATGAGTGAGAGGTTACTAATAGCCCACTCACACTTCAAAGATGAAATTCTATCTCTGATGATTTGAGCAATTGATAGAAGGACTTCCTTAGTGGATGAGTGGTAAAGAGATTGACACATTACATGATAATTAGGAGGCTTTAAAATGAAGGAAATTAAGGAGGTAGCAGTACTTGGTATCATAGGTACCAGTATCTAAGCCTACTGAAATTTTGAATAAAATTTTGAAATTTGAAAGATAACTTGAGGCAAGTTAAAATAAAAATATTTTGAACTTGAAGCGGGATGAAATTTAATCGTTTCGAGGTGAAAACAAACCTGGAAAAATAGGGTCGTGTGGCGCGTTGTGGGCCAAGTGTTTTGAGGGTATAAAAAGGGGAGAAATATCAGATTTCTCTCCATTCTTCAGCCGGTTTCAATGTGAGAGAGGAAAAGAGGGAAAAAGAGGGAGCTCTCCACTTCTTTCTATGATCTATGGATCTTGGGTGCTCGAATCCACTCAGACCAAGAAGGAAAGTTATTCCTCACGTCGAGGGCTACACCTACGTACCAAAAACAAAGGCTTTCACTAAAGGTTAGAAAGATGAGATTTCGGGGGAGCTTGGATTAGAGCTCGGGCTAAGTTCTTGGAGTTTTCCAACGTGTTTTTACACTTCAAGGGGTAGGGTTCCTTCCTACTTAGGTTCATTTTCTAACCTAGGGTGCCATATGTTATGGGTAGGTTGATGGAACTTTATATCATTTCCCTATGATTGTAAAGTTGATGGAATTGGGTAATTGAAATGGGTAAAATATATTCCTAACTTGGAATTGATATGTGGAAATTAATTGTGAAATTCCATGGAAATTGGTATTTGTGGGCATGCTATATGTTTAAATTATGTCTTGGTGAATGAAGTGTGTTATTGACATATATTATGTGATAACATGCTTGTGAATGGTTGTTAGATATGAAATGTTGATATATGTTTATTGATATATTAACATTGTGATGAAGTTTGGTGATTATATGCATATGATATAATTGGCCATGGAACATGTATATATATGTGGTTAAATTTGTTCATATGACATTCATTACATATCAGACATGACATTGATATTGCAATGGTCTATTACATTGTATTTGTACAGAAGCATCACAACCATGAGCATGAGACTTGGGTGTGGATATGAGTGTGTGCATGGTTTAATCAAACACCATACTTAGTGCTTGATGGATGAGTTCGGGAAAGTTGGACTGAAAATCCGACTGAGTCGCACAGTTGCATGAAAAACTTGTGTCGGGTATAGCAATTAAGGCTAGACTCTCCCTCGGGTGCAAGACTCGGCTACCTGGTTTAGACACTCCCCTGAGGTGAAATTCCAGAAAAGTGGCACGGTGTGCGGAACCGATGTTGCGACTCCGAGAACTCCGCTACCCAACAAAGACACAAGGATTTTGTTTTATAAAATACCTGGTTCGTACACTCTCCTGAGGTGAAATTTCAAAAAAGTGTACTTATTTTATAAAATTGTCATTCGATATGTAACATCAATGGCGGGTTTTTCATACATTGGCATTGCATTATGTGGTAGGAGCCGGTGACGACTCGAGATAAAGTGCATGAGTGAGTCTCATCTCATTTCATGGCATGAGATGGTAGAATTTCAACATTGAATTGCATATTCTTGTTTTGAATGATTGTTTCCGTGTTAAATGTTATATATGCGAATTTCATATGCATCAAGGTTGGGGGAGTAGCCTCTAACGTGTGTGTAGATGGCAAGTAGAGGAAGAGGACGTCGAGGCGGTGGGCGGAACAATAACCAACAACCACCGACCTTTGTCCAATAAGTCGTTATAGAGGCTATGGGTACGACGGCTGCTAACCTAGCACAGACAAGCACCAACACGAGCCAAGAGGCTCAAGCCATCCAAAGGACTTTAAGTTCCATAAGCCACCAACGCTCATGGATAAAATAGAGGACATGCAGCCTATAGGGATCACAAGGGTAGGGCCAAGGCTATCAAGGCCAAGCCTAAAGTCATTTGTCCCAAGGAGGGAAGAAATTCAAGGGGACATTTCAAGGAGGTCTAAAGACATGTTTCTATTGTCAACAATCGGGTCATGTGAGGAAGTATTGTCCCTTGAGGTAAAGCTCACGAAGTTCTGAGACATCTTAATCTTAGTCATCAGTAGGACTCACTCAAGCACAAGTTATTCCTTCCTGCCCTATTAGGGACCAGGGAGATTTGCTCCAACTACAGGGTATTGCACAATCACTTAGTACTTCATGTACGGGTACTCCGCAACCAGGTCGGATGAGCCAGGATGTGGGCCAACGCTAAGGCAAAGGTCAATCCTCCCAAGGTAGGAGACACTTTTGGGCTTCCAGCCAGGCAGGGCCACAAGCATATTTCTATTGCCACCAACCGAGTCAAAAGAAGCGGTATTGCCCTCAGAGGCTAGGATCCTAGAGTTACGGGGTGTCTCAATCCCAATCATCGATGGGACATACACAGACGTATTTCGTTCCTCACTACCCCGTCATGGGCCATGGAAGTCAGTATCAGTTTCAAGATGCTGCACAGGCCCCTACTACTTCAAATGCGGGGATCTCGCAATTAGACCAAATAGGCCAAGGCATGTGTGAAGGCCGAGGACAAGGCTTGCAAGCTGGGACTTCAGGGACCCAGGGGCGTCTCTGCGCCATCACACCACAAAATGAGCCAATGGATCAATCGCTAACTCATGGTACATTTCTTACTTCCCTATTTATGAGCACATGTGTCATATGATTCGGGTATGTCAAATACTGTTATTTTCATGTTTGATTGATGAAATAGATTTAGAAATCGCAACCCTAAAGGAATCCTTATGGAAAAAATCAACCTTAGGAGCTAAGGTTTGTATTAATTAAATATGTTGGGATTGTGAGTTAGAGATCTCAGGGATTCTACTCATCGTGGACCTTAGGGTCATGGACATGTTAGAGTTCGATATTGTTCTCAGGATGGATTGGTTGACAGCACATCGGGTTGTCA